GGCTAACTAAAAAAATGAATTCAATTAATATTTTCAGTCGAAATCGGAATAAAGCCAATGAAATGTTGTGTCAAAAATTACATTTATTTGATGTTCGGAATATCTGATTCGATGAGGACACAATGTTATTTCTTTGCTCTTTTTAATATTAATTTTTTATTTAATTTTTTGTCTAACTATCATATTTATATTCAAGGTAATTTTAAGGTTTAACAATAATAACATTTTTAAAAATATGTTTTATATAGTCCATAACAAGGCCTACATAAGGTCGTAAAAGAAGACTACTTCTGAAAATATTTACCGAAATTGTTTCAAATTTGCTATTTGTAATGAATACTACAGCCTAAGACAGAAAATTGTCTGTGCAGGTTCACGTCTTCGTATAGCCCCCATATAACGGTACCTCTCGATATTCGGTATTTTGATGATATTAAAGTTTCGCATTTGAATAAATGTCTATGAATTAGAATGCCTAGATTAAGATTTTAACAGAATTCCTAACGGATTTTATTTTTTTGAAAATTGCCAAATTCATTCCAAATGGTGGAACGGCTGAACCAACCGTCTTTTTTACTTGTTTTTTAATGAAATAAAAAAACAATAACATATAATTCTGCGATGCCCACAATGCACCCACATTAAACTGCCAACGCTTTGAACCCCTCGAAGTTGTATGCCGACGGCATATCATATGTTTCTTGTCAATGATTTGTGAAATTTGAAAACAATCGAACTCTTACATTACATTTTATAAGAGTTAAAATATTTTAAAATGTTGACCCTTTGTATTGGCCATTTCTCACCTAACCTAACACTGATAGAAATATTACGATTAGTAAAATTGTAGCAAAATCGGATTTCCCTTTCTCTTTCTGTGCAATATAATATATATATTTTTTGAAAAGTTTGACCTTTGTGGGGGAGGTACAAGAAGGAGCGGATATTCTCTTCGAGAGTTACCGCGTGCACCAGCCAGACAGACATATGGACATCGCTAGATCGACTCCAAATGTCCTGAAACGTATTTGGTCCAAAGAGACGTAGGGTCTAAAACCATTATTTCGATGAGGCACGTTTTGGCTATATCAAATAATATATTCCCTCTGTAGCCATATGGCTGTGGGTGTAATGAAAGAGCACTCGACATAAAACGAATTTCACTTCCACTCGAAATAGAGCAAAGAATACTCGCTCTTATTTGAAAGACATAGTAACATGGAGTATGCTAAATTTTTTACTTGTAGAAGAACTCCCGCTCGAGCAAGTTTCACTCTATTCAGTTTCACACTAATTTGAGGAAACATTTCTGAGATCAGCTAAAAACATTCTCTGAGTAAATAAAATAAATTATTAGTTTCCGGATATTTAAAAAATTGCAAATGTTATTGGTGGAGTACGTGGATTCGAACAGCTTTCACTCTCTACTCGAATTCGGGCGATAATTTCTGAACTCTGGACATAGATTAAGTGAAATAAGTAATCAGTTTCAGATACTTAAAAAAATGCAAATGATATAAAATTTGATGGAATTATATGTCGATTATTTTAATGTGTTCGCTTATGCTTTCAAGAAATTCAAAAGCTAGTAAATAGCAAAGTAATATTTTCAAAAAAAAAAAAAAAAAAATCGTGTAATGTTGCATCTAACTCTGAAGGGATCACAGAAATTCCGGAAAAGGGGGCGAACTTTTGTAACAAAATTATTAAAAATTATATGTGATTAGGTCTATAGTCCTCTACGAACCCGAAGTACCTAATAACAGTCGATTTGACAAGAACCTTCGACATCCCAATAACATATTAAAAAAAAAGTTGCAAGGAGGTAATTTACATATAGATATTCAAAACTATCAGATTAAATATAACCTTGAACATATTTAAAACCACCCTCTCCTCTTTATGAGGGCCATCGATTAACACGAACACGTATATTACATTACAGTTTACTGATTTTAAAATATTGGATGCTATGCCAAAAGATGAGCCTATTTCGAAAAGGAAAGTGAAATTCTAAGTAACTCAAATTGGCCTGAAAATGAGATGAGAACCTTTATAATGACATTAATGGTAATATCGGAACATTTCTAAAATGACTGAAATTATAACCCAATAACTCTACTTTATAATGACGGTCCATTTCATTTGCTTTAAATCCAAATGACAAAACATGATCAATTCGTATTTTCATTTAAAAATAAGTAAATTTGATCCTGACATATTTGATTGTTTTTTGCACTAAAATCTCCCCACACCTCAAAGGCTTGTGATTTTGATGAAATTTAATTTCCCCTCAAAGTAGCAGCCATTATTATTAGGTGATCAATATTAGTTGTATGTGTGTGCGCGTGCGTGTGTGTAATTATTAATATTTTTCTCATTTGACAATGATTATCTGGCAAATTCATTGTCTGGCTGCCATAGTTTGATACGATTTTAATTGCCTATTATCGGCAATATTTCGATAACTGATGGCTGAGGTGGGTGGGGCTTACTAATGTTATGTTAATAAAACAAAAAAAGTAAAATAAATGTTTATTTTATGTCTCATTAATAACACATTTTAATAAATATTACAACAACAACAACAACAACGAAATTAAACAAAAGACACAATTAATGACGCATTACCGATTTTAGATAAAAAAGAATAACAAAAATTTAACTACTTTTTTCCAATTCTATTTAAAACAAAAGAACTAATGTTTGTTGTTGTTGCTGTTGCCTCAATAGTTAAATTCTCATTAGGAATTAATTAATGACAATACAATAAATGACTTAATCACCAATCGTGCATGCATGTATTACGCGTGTCTGTATGTGTGTGACACACATTCACAGACTAAATAAAAATCGTTTAGATTGTTATGCTAATTGTGGCCATAATGTAAATGAAATTATAATGGGGGCCTCTATAAACATGACTGGCTTAGATGATGATTGATTAAAACTTTTAATCTATTATTAATGTTGTTTTATGTTCTCAGACCATTTATTGAATTTAATTTAAAATGTCAACTTTTTATATATGGAATTTTTTTGCGGATTCGTCTTCAACAAATTTGATTTTCCCGCCAACTATATTTGAAATTAGAAAATTGTCTTGAATTTTATTCAAATTCAAAATTAATTTTTATTTGTAATTTGCTAATTGCCAAATGTTTATTGGTTGCTTTTAGTGTTTTTTTAACAATAAGATTTTTCTTAAAATCGATACTTTCCCCTTAACCATCTCTACAGTCATTGTACCCTCCACAACTTCAAAATATTTTTCTAATACCCCATAAATGTTATTCCTGACCAGAATAGTTTTGATATATATATTTGTTGAGATACCATAACTATTTTCTTATTTCAGAGAAGAGTAAAATTCTACTTTAAAGCTATGTCTAGTCAACAACAACAACACTCGAAGTATAATTTTACCTTGTTTTTAAAATGTGTAAATTCTCTTTCGACCAAAATTGTTTACTGCAATTTCGTGTGATATAGGCCTCGTACAACAATACAGGGACGTACACAGAAATTCATTTGGAAACAATTGGAGGTTCAGAAGTTTCAGCACTAATTTAACTGCTTCTTATTTTATGAAAATTCAGTGCCGATTGGTCCAAACTTGGTACATCGTAATATTATTATGTAATTTAGATCGAGTTCAGAGATGGGTAATATCAGTCCACTCCTTTAGGTACCTTCCCCACAAAAGGTCAACATTTTCAAAACAAATTTTATTGCATAGAAGCAGAAAGGATAATCCGATTTTGCTCCAACTTTGCAAATCCTAATATTTGCATCAGTGCTAGGCCAGGGCGGACGATATCGGTCCACTCCATCAAGTACCTCCCCCACAAAGAGTCAACATCCGAAATTAACATCCGATTCCGTTCAGATTTTTATCAACAGAAAATCTGTTTGAAAGATTTTGAAGATCGGGCCTTTCCTCCTGGTACCACCTCCACAAGGGGTCAAAGTTATGAATAACCAAAACGGTTATATAAAAGAAATAAAAATTTGGTTCTCTTCATTTTTCACACATCCCTTTATTTCTACAAACACAAAATCTGCTTCTAACAAAGGGTCAACGTTTTGAATATCCACGAAGCTCATAAAACGCAAAATTAAAATTCGATTTCGTTCAGGCTTAGTACATCTCAATATTTCCATCTACACAAGATCTGTTATAGACATGGTAGAGATCGGACCATTGCTTCCGGTATCTCTCCCACAAGAGTTTGAAATCAAAACGCTCAAGTAACCATTCAACTCTCTTCAAAATCTATTGTGAAGAGGATATATACCTTTGAACCCATTCTAGTACCTCATCTACAAAGGGTCACAATTGTCAATATTTTTATCTGTCATGTCAGCGATTTTGTACAACTTTCTACATCTAAAAATGTCTGTCAACCAGAAGCCTGAGATGAATATGGAATTTATAATTTCGCATAAAATTGGATATAAATGTTCGATTTCCTTGTAATTACCGGTATCGACTATATCTGGTACCTCACTCACATTTAAGCATTTTCTAAAAATTATTACATATCTCATATAGAGTGAAGGATTTAGTTCAAGCCTGGCATGTCGCAACATTTATTTAGGTCAGATTCGATATGGACAATATTGTCCCATTCTTTCGGAACCTACTCCTTAGGGGGAGAACAATTTGTATTATCATAACAGAAGTGAAAATGTATTTAAATAATCGTACATTGGCGGCAAAACCGTCTGATACCTTTTAAATTGTTAGATATCTACACAAGACCATTTGGAGGAGTTTCCAAGTATTAAATAAAAAGTGTAGATGACATATGGAACACAAAAGCATAACCCCGACAATATATAAATTACTTTCCAAAATTTTTAAAAACCGCTCAGGCCACTCGAGGAAAAGGTGTAAATATTTCCGCCCTCATTATAATTTCAGAATATTTTTTTCTGTATTCAAATTACTTTTGAACCCGTCAAAAATATATATTAAAAATTTCGAGTTTACTCACCTCCATTTCGTTCGTCGATTCTGGAACCATGTCTTCACCTGGGCATCTGTCATTTTCAGACCTCGAGCCAGGGCCGCTCTCTCGGCTGATGCCAAGTACTTTTGCTTGTGAAACCGTTTCTCTAGCTCAGCCACCTGGATGCGTGTAAATGATGTGCGTGGCTTTTTTCGCTTGGGTGGTGTGCGATTCTGATAAGGATGGCCAATTCGGCGGGCAATTGGAAATGCAGCTGAAAGGGAAAATTAAAAAAATGAAATTAAACTTAATAACCAACTAAAGGCTACAAAGTGTTTATCTAACGCCCCCTCTTAGTTGCTTTCATAAATTATATTTTTATCCTTTAATTGTTTGTCAAATGTTTGAGGGCGGTCACAACAATTAAGTGCAGCCATAAATTATCTCTCTCTCTCTCTCCCTCTATCCTGTTGCCACACAGTTTGATAACAAGCCATTTCCGAGTTTTACTTCCGGAAAATGCACGCACAGCGTTACCTCGTTACCTGTTCCAAACACATCTGTGAGGGTTGCACCAGGAGTTTTCCCTAATTTTATGAATGAAAAATACAAGCACCAAATGAAGGAAGAAGTTGTGTACATCAAAGGCCCACAATCATTTAAAGGATATTTTCTCTTCCTGCCCAGGATAAATGTGTCGGCTTAATTACTGGCCACTTTAAGTAGACTTATCGGTCAACATTAATAGCGATAGTAATTTCATTGCTGTTGTTGTTATTCTTGTGCGGCGTTGTGTTGCGTTGCGTTGGTGTACCTGCCGCTGAGAAATCAATTAGTCTGTTTTGCTGTTCAGTGGCTGTTTGGCTGGAAAAGTCTAATTGAAACTAGGCAGACTCTAATAGCTGTGGTAGTGGTGTAATAGAGAGACCCCGGCAGGCCATTTGGCCTGCCTTATAGGACAGCAGACAGTGTCATTTACATCCAATATGAAAACACGCGACAATTTTTATTTCACCGCCGTTGAGGTGTTGTTGTTGTTAGTTTTTGTTGCCGTATTTCCATGACGTTGAGTCATATTATTTGTGACAAAAAGAAGTTATATCGCGTTAAGTAAAATGAATGACAGTCTGCTCGGTTGTCGGATAACTGGCCGGTTAGTTTGTCGACTGATGGCTGGCTGGCTGACTGGCTGGGATGGGATGGCTGAATGACCCAGACTGTCCAGTGGATAGCAGCAACGTACCCCTCATTTGTGCTGCTGACTGTGTCGTTTCGTTTTTGGGCTGCTGATTTTATTGATTGACTGAATGGGCTGTTGTTTTCCAAATTGGTATGTCTTTAGGGACAGACAAGACGACGAACCTTTTAAAATTCTTTTAGGACATTGGCGTTGTTTCGTTAAATGACTGAGTGACTGGTTGGTTGCTGTCTGTGTGTCTTTGCGCCTGTTTTTGTTTCGTATTGTCGTTATAAATATTTTTGTGTTTTCTTGGCTTTTATTAGGTGCGATAAGAGACGCGTAGTAATAATGTTTTTTTATAGGGCCCTAGTATCAATGAGAATGTGGAAAGAAACTCCTTGTGAGGGTGGTTTAATAATTTGGTTATAAAAGGGGGTTTACGTTATTTTTTAGAGAGAATGAGCGCTGAGCGAAACGGCTGAATCTAGAATCTGGAAATTTTGCACGAGGTTCTGTCTTGCTGCAAATTCGTACGAAAAGGATGCGAAAGTACAAAAATGTACTAAATATTGAATACTTTTTATTAGACAAACGAAATGCGCGAAAATTCTGAAATTTGGAATGAGAGTCACCGATGGAGTGGAGGATAGATGCACTAAAGAGTTTTTGAAATTCGAAATTGAAAGTTACGAAAAATTGTAAAATGTTACTAAAGGTCTAAAATGGTACCATTTGATATTATGTAAACGGATAGAGTTTAAACTTGAAATTTGATATGAGAACCGAGGTTGGAGAGTAAGTCTGATATATGATGGTGGTTTTTGGAAATGCGTACTAAATGAGCGAACTGTACTAAATGCTACTGTATTTGGAACAGTTTGGTTAAGGGTGAATGGATGCAGCTGAAATTTTGAAATCTTATATTAGAGTCCCTGTGTGGGGAGGTTTGTGATAAAGAGGTGGTTTTCGAAATGTACAAAATAGTACTATATTTGGTACAATTTGGTCTTGTGTGAACAGAAAGAGCTTTAAATCTGATATTTGGTATTAGGGTCAATGTTCAATTGTAGCCCGGACATATGGAGGTGGTTTCGGAAATGTGTACCATAATTGTACGAAAAATACAAAATGATACTATATTTGGTAATGGGTGAAAGGATAGAGATAAAATTCTGAAATTTGACATTTAGTTTATTGAAGGTATTTGTGTTTCAGATTTGACGGTCATTTGAAAATGCATCATCAATTTCTACGAAAAGTACTAAATGTTACTAAATTTGCTATAGGGAAATGCCATAGAGCTGAACTCCTTAATATTGACTAACTGTTGGTGTTTGCGGTTAAGATATTAAATTGGTTTTGGAAATATGTAATATAAATGTGAAGGCTGGATATGTGTACTATAATTGTACAAAAAGTACAAAATGGTACTATACATGCTATTGGGCGAAGGGGTAGAGATACGATTCTAAAATTTTATATTTAGATTACTGGAATTGAGATTTCGCAGTCGTGTGGAAATGCGTCCTATATTTTTACGAAAAGTACTTATTAGTACTAAATTTAGTATTAAAGGAAGGAATTTGGTTGGAATCCTCAAATTTCATATTGGTATCTGGAATTGAAATATCGAGGTGGTTTTGAAAATGTGTACTATAATTGTACGAAAAGTACTAAATCCTGAAATTTGATATTGAGGTCTTTGTTGGTACATGGAATTGAGGTATGGAGGTGGTTTTGGAAATGAGTACTATAATTGTACGAAAAGTACTAAATTTGGTATAGGGTGCGGAAATAGAGCTGAAGTCCTTAAATTTAATATTGAGGTATCTCTCTCTATCCGTTGGTATCTGGGATAAAGATGTGGAGGTGTTTTTTTAAATGTGTATTATAATTGTACAAATAGTACTCAATTTGGTATTGGGTTAAGGAAATTAGCTGAAATCCTAAAATTTGATATGAATGCTACCGTTAGTATATGGTATTGAGATGTTAAGGTGCTTTTGAAATTGTGTACTATAATTTTACGAAAAGTCCTAAATTGAGTATTGAGAGAAGGAATATGGCTGGATTCCTCAAATTTGATATTGAGGCCTCTTTATGGGATGGTATAGGAATACAGATGCATCGACACTGATATTTTAAAATTTTTTAAATGTTTTTTTTTAATGATTAGATTTTTATGAGATTGTTTTATACGACATCAATTGAAGCTTCTTATGATATTCATTTTCAATAAATTTTTACAAATTCGAACAATATTGGTTCAAAATTTTCAATTTCAAAATTGTCCCAGCTGCTCTGTCAATTCGACTACCTGTATTCTTCTACAACGATTGGGTCTCCCTTTTAAAAATATCGGTATGGTTTTTAAGCACTCTCTCTCCTTATTTTACGAAGTAATTTTTCAGTAATATTTTTATTGGCATTTTCTGGAAGGACTTTAGAAATATGTTTCAATCTATTCCTATTTCTCACATTTTTAAAACCTTTAACTCCATATTTATTACTGAACTCCAGAGTCCTTGGCCCACATATATTCACATTTATTTCCTCTACCATACATTCACCCCACTATAATTTCCATTTTCCTTACCCCCTCCTCCTCCTCGCCGTCTTGTAGAATGTCATTTCGCGTTTTTCAAATAGTCTATAATTAATAAAATATTGAAAAACTATTTCGAAACGTATTTCGTTTTCTTAAACCCGATTAACAAATAACCTCCAATTTGTTCGACGACAATTTTATTATGGATTCATGTATCGTGTTTTGTTTGTCTTTTGGTGGCTGGTGGTTGTTTCGATGATGGTGGTAGTGTTGGTGATGGGATAGTGTTTTGTCGCCAGCTTATCTTAATAGCTTCGTCCGAAGTACAATAATTGGCGTCTCCGCGGAAATGTTCATTATGAAGGTTGTCTTTTGTTGTTTTTGGTTGGTCTGCGTAAAGTTAGGTGCCGTTGCTCGTGAGAGTGGCCTTCCTTTGGGGCTCATTGAGGCTTTTAGAGTTAGTGGCTGGTCTGGCCGGTATCAGTTCTCTTCTGAGGTCCAAACCTTTATGTCTGAAGAGTGGCTGCTTAAACGATACGTTGACATCGAACAATTAATTATGAAAGCGTTGTAAAAACACAAAGTGAATGCAGTCGCCCTGATAGTGATAATGAAACATTTCCCCGGAAAGTTAAGAGGAGTATTTTTCAAAATTGAAAGCTTTTTCTATATGTTTTTCTTAAGTAAATTAATCAATATTTTTAATATTTCATACAAATAATGCAAAGGTCTATGCTAAACATTTTTTAAAATATGATTTTATCTCAAACATATATTTTCTTTCTTTAAGACTTGTGGTATTTCTAAACCTAATATTTTTGATTTTCTTGGAAACTAAACCAAACTCATTTTTCATTGACCAAGCTCTGAAACTTTTTGCAGCCACAAAACATTTCTTTTAAAAGGCAATCTATAATACAACAAACAAGATCTAACATAAACTTTAGGATTCCCTGGCATTTTTTATTCTTTTGGCTGGAACACAAATATTTTTGGCATAAACATTTGCCATTTATTATTCATGTTAAAAGCTTTTTCCATTACTTGGCATATGGTTTATAACCTCAGTCGTGGCTTTGGATACGTTGACGACGATGACGGGGTTGCTGCTACACCTTGGGGTTAAGACACGTTCCATGTAAAACAACAGCAACAACAAACAAGGAAGTTTTCCTTTCAAAGTGCCATAAAACATCCCTTTGGAATATTTTACATCGAGAACCTCCCCCAAATTAATTTCTTTCGTGTCATAAACAAACTCAAAGGCCTTGTATGTCGGCGTGTATCTGTGTGTGTGTGTGGTTGTGTGAAATCCCTAAAACCTTTTTCCAAAACATTCTAATCATATGTGGTTTTCTTGGTTGGCATCCGCATTTAAAGCTTAAATTTTATGATGCTTCCAAAGGATTGAAATTGAAGCCAATCAAATATTAAGACCCAAGATTCAATGGCGTTTAATGGTTTTTATATTGAAATTGATATTTGCGTAGGTGGAGGTTTTCCCCTCCACTCCGTTGCAAAGAGGAAATGTGTGTCAATGATATTG